AAATTAGGAAACAAAGCTACGTGGCTATGATGTATTCCAATCACATAAACTCCATACCTAATTGTTTATTTATAATTATGATTACTTTATCGCCCATCCCCATATTATTTGTTTAATTATTAAACATTTATTTATTTCAAATCCAACCAAAAAAAAAATCCATGTTGCCCCAATAACTTAACTATATGTGTGTCTACATACAAATATCAACTTCACAAGTCAAAACAAATCTTAAAGTGCTCCTCGTGAAATTAACTAACACTTAGATCATCAATCATGAACATATCCGTAACCAAGTTGATCTGTATTAATATTTTGAGAATCTGAATCCCCTTTAAACCTGTCACTCTTTATGGGATTAATCAGTGCGCTTTAGTTTTTTTTTTTCCTCACCCAATATAAAATTACTTAGCAAGAGTTCCTTGAATTTAGCTCAGATAGTGAGAGTGAGTAAAATGACTTAAAAATGATCATCAATGGTTCAAATTCTTTTAATATAACAAAAGCAGAGAAATTCTTAACAAAAGTATTACTCTTCCGATTTTTAATATAATATCTATTTGATTGATTTAAGCAGATTAAAAAATTAAATGATTTGTTAATTATAATAAATATGACATGATATTTTAACAGACTCCTGTATAATATTTGATTATATATCAATTTATAAGTTAGTTGACTTAACTCAAAAAATTTATAAATATGAGAAATAAAATGAATTAAGGTTTCCAACCCCATATCCCAATTAGCTCCCATAAGAGGGAATAGAGGAAGTATTTAACATAAACAATGTAGGGAGAAGAATTCATAATTCTTCTATTTAACAAACTGAAAAAGGTTTCCTTCCCTAAAAGATATTTTCTTAAATTACACAATATTTATTTTCCTATATAAAAGTGTATACGAATTTCCTCAATTGATGGACATACTAAAGCAAAACGAAAATAAGCAAATAAACTGAAATAACTAATTTTTGGTGGATACGATATATATTTTGTGTCTTTAAAAAATAATTGATTTGCAATAATGATAATAAAACATATTACTATAACATATAAATTTTTATGTGGTAAAATGAGAATATTTTATTTTGAGTGCGATGATCTAAAATATCACCAATTGTCCCATCAATTTCTTTTATTACAATATTTTGAAGTGAAAAATCACATGATTTTTTTCCCGGTCTCCAAACACACATTTGTCTTGTTGCAAAGCTCAAGCCTAAAGGGTCAAAAAAAAAAAAAAGCTCAAGCCTAAAGGTTATATTTTATATTTATGGACTGGGTCAATCCTAAAGCTAAGGGCAATTTAATTAAATACAGAATGAACACCATTAATTTGACAGAAAAGCCACGTATCAAAGCATAGAATATTATTTTTATTTTCCAATTAATATACACTACAAATTCAGCCAATTATTTGCCCTCGCCTGATCGCATTACGTACAAAAGAATAAAAGACAAAAGTTGGCTCTTTTCTTCTTCTTCTTTTTTTTCTTCTAATTTTTAAATTAAAAAGCGACTCTCTCAGTCACTCTTGAATCCATAAATATTTTATCAAAAATTTAATAAATGAGACTTAACTCTCATAATATGCAGGCCTAAAAAAATAAACCTCTCAAAATATACTACCTCCGGCCCTAATTATAAGAGCTAATTGACTAATTTAGGAAGATTAAAAAAAGAAGTTCAGTTAGTTATTTATAATAAATATGTGTTGTTTTTCCTAAAATATCCTTACTATTTAAGTGTGTTGGGTAGAACTACTATTGTTAAAAGGATTATCTTGAAAAAAATATATAACTATGAGAGACAAAATAGATTTGGGTCTTATATTTAGGATCAAAATAAAAATCAAACAAAATCTTAGGTAGTACTCCTCTGGTCCTATTTATAAGGCACTTCCAACATGTTTCACACAGACCAAGAAAAACCTTAAACTGTATTAACTCTCCATTAAAATATAACAACTTTTCAACTTTACCCCTATTTAATATATACTCCTTTCAAAAAAGATAACTACTTACACTATAATAAATGAAGGACAAAATAGTACATTCATACTGAAAAGTTAATAAAGTGACTTATAAATAGGACAAAAAAAAACATTCTCTCTCTACCTTATAAATAGGACCAGATGAGTATTTATTACATATTCAGTTGCTTGGCCCCTGAATCCAGAGTGTCATTCTTTTTTGCCACTTGGAATGTTCCCCGGCCAAAAAAGAGAAAAAATGGTAAAAAAAACGTCAAAATAAAAAAAATTTAAATAAAGACCCATGACAATATTAGTATAGGTTTTGATAATAATTTTTGCAAACTGGTCTCTATATGTAATTTTTCTATTTTTACAGTTTTTTTTGTTATTTTTTCAACGAAAAAAAGCATAACATTATCAGTTTAGGTCACAAAATATCTCAAGTACCAAAAAAGAAAAACATTACAAACTCTAATATTACTATTTACTACCAGAATATATAATAGGGGAAATCACAAATAAAGACCCTCGAATTAGCAAAATCACTCTATGGTCACCTGAATATGCTAAATTACTATGAGGGACCTGGTCTCAAATTGTAATTATGAAATCATGGCCAAATTACCAAAATACCCCTCTTTAATTTTCTTTTTTTAAAAAAGAAAGCCACTGCCTCACCGGAATCCGGCCACCGGCGCCGGAGCTCCGGCGGCCGCTTCCGGCCACTGTCGGCGGCAGGAAGCCGGAGTCCGGCCGCCGGAGCTCCGGCACCGGCGGCCGCTTCCGGCGGTCTTCCTTTGTTTTTTTTTGAAACTGTTTTTTTTTTTAAATTGGGGGGAAGTGAGGTTGGGGGATTTGATCCCCCAACCTAATGCTTCCCAAAATAAGGAATGACCATTGAGCCAACAAATTTTTGTTAACATTATGATGCAAAAAAAAAATATAAGTTAACTCATTTACTCTTGTTCCTGGTGATAACAACAATACATTTGGAAATAACAAGTTCTGATTGTAAAATAACACGTCTGGAATAAAAATTTAACAATATGTTTTTTTTATAACAATAAATTTTGTTGCAGGCAATAACAACAATACATTTAAAAGTAACAAGTTCTGATTATAAAATAACAAGTTTGGGATTAAAATTTAACAACACGTTTTTTTTTTATAACAACACACTTTATTTCAAGTGATAACAACAATACATTTAAAAATAACAAGTTCTGATTATAAGATAATAAGTTTGGGATTAAAATTTAACAACATGTTTTTTTATAACAACACACTTTGTTTTAAGTGATAACAACAATACATTTGGAAATAACAAGTTCTGATTATAAAATAACAAGTCTGGAATTAAAATTCAACAGCACCTTTTTTTATAACAATTAATTATTTTATACTTTTGGAAAATAAATTATTTATAACTTATAAAAAGTACTTGTAATCTATTTAATTTGCTAAAAAAATAATTTTTATCTCCAATTTATAATCAGAACTTGAAGTATAATTTTTTATAGATTAAAAATACTTTTTTATTGTTCAAATTTATAAATAAAATTTAGGGAAAATGACAACACACTTTTTTAATTTTTTTTTAAATTTTTAATCTATATATCTATACAACTTATTATAAATCAAACTACTTCTTATAAATTATAAATAGTACAATTTATTGTGGATTAAAAATACTTTTTGACTGCTTAAATTTATAAATGAAATTTATCTCTAATTTATAATTAAAAATACTATTTTATTCTTTAAATATAAAAATATTTTTAATATTTAAAGAATGAAATAATATAAAATTTATACTATGATTAATAAATAAAAATGCCTTATTATAAATACTTTATAATTTATAAGAAGTAGTTTGATTTATAATGAATTGTATAGATATACAGATTAAAAAGTATTTTTTTAGAGAAATAAATATATTAAAAATATTTTTTATAAGTTATAAATAATTTATTTTTTAAAAGTATAAAATAATTAATTGTTATAAAAAAATGTGTTGTTAAATTTTAATCCTAGACTTATTATCTTATAATCAGAACTTGTTATTTTTAAATGTATTGTTGTTATCACTTGAAACAAAGTGTATTGTTATAAAAAAAACGTGTTATTAAATTTTAATCCCAAACTTGTTATTTTATAATCAGAACTTGTTATTTTTAAATGTATTGTTGTTATTATCTGCAATAAAATTTATTGTTATAAAAAAAACATATTGTTAAATTTTTATTCCAGACGTGTTATTTTACAATCAGAACTTGTTATTTCCAAATGTATTGTTGTTATCACCTGGAACAAGAGTAAATGAGTTAACTTATATTTTTTTTTGCATCATAATGTTAATAAAAATTTGTTGGCTCAATGGTCATTCCTTATTTTGGGAAGCATTAGGTTGGGGGATCAAATCCCCCTAACCTCACTTCCCCCCAATTTAAAAAAAAAAAACAGTTTCAAAAAAAAAAACAAAGGAAGACCGCCGGAAGCGGCCGCCGGCGCCGGACCGCCGACAGTGGCCGGAAGCGGCCGCCGGAGCTCCAACGCCGGTGGCCGGATTCCGATGAGGCAGTGGCTTTCTTTTAAAAAAAAAAATTAAAGAGGGGTATTTTGGTAATTTAGTCATAATTTCATAATTACAATTTGACACCGGATCCCTCATAATAATTTAGCATATTCAGGTGACCATAGAGTGATTTTGCTAATTCGAGGGTCTTTATTTGTGATTTCCCCTATATAATATTGCACTCCAGTGTCTTAACATTGGGTGCATTTCTGTCTTTCTTTTCATTTTAATTTTAAAAATAAAATAAAAATGCTTTCTTCAGCATTCCAATCCAAAAGACCAAAAACTCCAAAATTGATCATCCATTGACATTTCCCAGAGGCAGCCTTGTGAACCAAAATTTGGAACTTCCCCATCCAAATTTCTTCCTTTTGGTTCCTCCAAATTGCCAATGTTTTGTTTCCCAAATTATAGAGAGAGAAAAAAAAAGAAATAGAAAATAAAAATGTTAAGTTGGACGGTAGCTGGATTTGGCTGGAAGACCTACTCCCGCAAGAAGCTACTCACAATCTTCACGCTTGGCTCCAGCACCTCCCTCTCCCAAATTTCAGACCACCTTCCGCCGCTGCTCTTTCCCAACTTCGCCCTGAACACCTCCGTCGCGTCCACTCTCCGTAGGTCCCACCCTGACCCTCTTAGCCGTAAGATTTTCTCTATCTGTTTTTTCACAAGCCGACCCGTGTTGTCCTTTATCGCTCTTACGGCGTCTTCGTATGCCCCCTTCCGTACCCGATCCTCTTCGCATGTACACTCCGCGCTCAGCCCTGCCGGTGGGGGGTATCTTTTGAAATACGGATCGAACTCCTGCACACCGATGGCCTTTCTCAATCCGGTTCGATTCTCCGAGTCATCCTCTAAATCGTCGGCGTCCGGGTTGAAAAACTCGGCTAACTCTTCCACCATTCCCATGTCGAGCATGTCGTCGACTCGCTTCATCAAGTAATCTGACAACAGAGGAAATGACACGTCCACCCACAAGAAGCAGCAATCGTATCTCAACTCCGATGAGATCAAACTCGACGACGATGACGACCCATCGAATACATTTATCTCGGGGTCGAATCGGTCCGCGAGCAGAGCGTGAACGAACGAGTTAGACCCACCAACAACGATGGGAATCTTCCTCCTGGAAGTAATGTCGGAGATGACAGAGCCGGCGCGCAAGCGAAAATCTAAAGGCGTGAACTCTCCGTTTTGTGGGTCGACATCGCCGAGGAGATGATGAGGGACGCCTTTGCGCTCCTCAATGGGGATCTTGTTGGTGGTGATGTCGAGGCCTGTGTAAACTTGCATTTTATCCGAGTTAATGATCTCGGAGAAGGGGAAACGGGTTGCGAGGTCGATGGAGAGGCTGGATTTCCCGGCTCCGGTGGCACCCATTATGACAATCACCTTCTCTTTCCAGCGGTTGCGGCTGAAGATGGGGCCAGCATCCATGCGGAGCCAGCGGTTTCTTCTGATAGAGGAAGAAGAAAACAGAGTAATGGGTGAACGGTGAAATCGAAAGGAGGAGCAATGGTGGGAACAGTGAGCAGAGAAAAAAGGAAATGTCATAAGGAAGAAGGATGTTGGATGTGAGGTTGGGGCGAGAGAGAGATATGGAATAGGAGACGAAAGGGTGTGTGTTGGTCTGTTGGACTGTTGGTGTGGGTGTAGCAGAGGGGGAGAGAGAAGGAGAGATAGTGAGAGTGCGGGAGAGTGGCAAGGGTGAGGTTTTGTGGCGTCAGAAGTTGAGGTGAGAGCCGTGAGAGAAAGCTGTGTGCTGCTGGAAATGGCGTGGCATTCCCAAAATTAATACCAAATTGCAGAAGAAGCCCGCCCAAAGCAAAAATGGCTGTCTTTCTCTCGATCTGTCTCTCTTCGATCCTTTCTCCAAGCTTCCTAATTGGTCTATCTCTTACATATTCTGCGCTGATCTGCCTCTCTCCCTGTGTTTCTCGCAGAGCAGATGAATTAGACTGGAATGGTGATGCCATATGTATATATGGGGGTGGTAATACGTCCGGCATATGTATATATGGTGGTGGTAATACGTCCGGCTTGGCCGGTGACGGTCCAACCCATATAGGTCGGGTTAAAAAGTATTGTTTAAAAGCGGATTGGCTTTTAACCAACTCTAACCCTCTAAGATAGGTTGGCTCGCCAACCTACCAACAAGTATTTACCCTTTTTTTAAAAAAGTTTTTATCTTTTAATATTTTTTCTTATTTAATATTTTAAAAAATATAATGGGATTTTTATTTTTTTTCTTGAAATATTTGATTAGAAGTATCAAATAAATTATATAGGTATTTTTTTTAATTTTTTAGATATAATATTATATATAATAATACAATTATAAAATTTTTTAAAAATTTTAAAAATAAAAAAAATATGCGCGTTAGCCCGTGGGTTGGCGGGCTAACCTGCGGCGGGTTGCGAGCATGACGGTATGGGTTGGAAAGATTCATTTATTGGCGGGTTGACTTTTAGTCAACCCTCACCCGTTATTTTTGACATAAGTTCAACCTATATTACCAGTTCTATGTATATATAAGATCTCATATGATTTGAATTTGAATTATTTAAACAAAAAAAAAGCGCATTTATGTTCTGTATTTATTTGCAAGTATACATGTGGTATATATTGCATAGGGATCCGAGATCTATTTTGCTACGTGCATAATATAAGGGTTAATTTGATTTTTAAATTGATTCTAAATATAAAACCTTAATCTATTTTGTTTGTTATATTTTTTCATTTTTCTAAACTAACCCTTATAGTAGTTACACATGTTAAATATTCCATCAATTAGTAATTTTAGCTAATATACATGATTAGTAATGTCCCGTTTGGTAGCAAGGAACTGGAAGGAGAGAAGTGGAAGTGGAAGTGGAATCAATCTTTTTGTTTGTTTGGTGCACTGGAACTCAATTCTCCGGGAAGTCACTTCCACCAAAAATGGTGGAACTGACTTCCACCCTATGACCCATGGAACCGGATCAGTTCCATGGAAGTGAATTTTTTCAGACCATTTTATCCTCAATTTTATAACTTATTGACAAGCTTGCCCTTAACATTATAACCCTCCTTTCTTCCTAAGCCATTTGACAACCTCCCCCTTCAGCAACCTCCAGCGATGGCAAGCCTCCATGAGAAGCATTGATAATGGCGAAGAAGCACCGGTGAAGACACCTTCGACTTCAGATCTAAAGGCAACGACGGCTTCATCTGAGATTAGGAGGCAGCAGATTCATCATATAGTAGGAGGTGACTTCTTCAGATCTATGAAGTATTGGAGCCGTAATCATTTTCTGCCATCGTCCTTGTCTCCCACCGTTTCCCTTACGACGACGATGCCGGCTTCAGATTTCTCAGATTCGAAGCCATGAGGGAGACTCGTGCAACCATCTTTTGCTGTGGTCCTCATGAGGGAGAGGTTGCGCAGATTCGCGACGATGAAGCCATGAGGAAGAGATTGCGATTTATCCGAAACTCTCCGTCCTCATCGTCTTCCTTTTCTCCTCTTATTTGATGAGGATACCTCTGCTTCTGAATCTTTTTTTTTTGTTTGAATTCCTATTGATTATTGATGGCTGATAGTTGTTAAAAATGGAGGACAATGGTTGTGTTTTTGGTGGTCGGTGGCTGTGGTAGATTGCTGCGGCGGCTAGTGGTTGACGGCGCGACTTAGAAATTGGACTCTGGGGAGGTTTTTTTTTTTCAAGTCAAGGGCATATAGGTCTTTTCACATTATAAGTGGACATTTTTATCAAAAATTATATCTCACTTCCATTGGCATACCAAACATACTTTAGAATTCACTTCCACTTCTATTTCCACCTCCACTTCCACTTCTATTTCCACTTCCACTTCCATCAAAAACTCTTCCATCATACCAAACGAGGCATAAGAGTATTGTAAAAAATTCAACTCATATTTATTACAAATAATTAACTTAATAAATTTTATAATTTATCTAAATTAGTCAACCAGTTAGTATTATATTAAGTATGGGAGGCAATGTTTAATTGATAAGAAATGAAAATGAGAAAATGGTCACGGGATAAATGGAGGCGAAGAAGAAGAATGTAATAAACGTGGAGGCGAGTTGATGATTTTCTCGGTTGTTCTTTTTAATTTTCTACGACTCTCTTTCTTTGGATTCAAATTGTTTGTTACGTCCTCCCACCCACACCTGATTTTTTGGCCTCCTTGTTTCCGGTGGCCTCAAGGACGCCATTATTCCCCATCCGCAGTTCTTTTTACCATTTAACTAACTAATTTTGCCGTTAACAATGGAATATTATTTTCTCTTCTTCCTTTTTTTTTTTATTGTTGTTAACTAGACATTTTATAAACTAAAATTGCCAAACTTATTAGCGGTGCTAAATTCATGACAAACAGATATCATTTAAAATGTCCATGACCCTGAGGGTCTTTTTGGTATTGGGGAAAGGAAAGTGACAAATAATTTTAATGAGCTTGTTTTAAAAAATTTTTAAAATGAGGTTAAAAGCCTGTAATTAATTTTTTCTATTCTTTTAATTACCTTATATTTTATTTTCATTAACATTTTATAACACCATTTCTTTAATTTTTTACGTTGAATACATTACAACTTTTTCCCTCCTTCTCTCCCCTCCAATCCCCTCGCACCAAATATAGGATAAGAGTATGAAAATTTTCTATTAAAAAAAAACTGAGGGTTCGATTTCATTTATGGCATCCGGTTTGGTACTGCCCATCTATATCAGAAAATCATCCGAGATAAAAAGGGCAGCGGCTTTCCTCCTCTACCCAAAACTGTGCCGTTTTGGGTGTTAAAACTCGAGGCTCTCCACTTTTTTTTCTTCTTTTTTTTGGCAAATCAACATCTTTTACTTTGAAACATCTTTTAGTAGTATTCAGTATCTTAAAATAATTTTTAGTGCACCTGATATTTAAAAATATTATTCAGTAGTACTCAGTACTTAGCAAGCTTCATTCTGAACTATTCTTCAGTAGTAACCAATTTCAGTAGTAACCAATATCCTAAACTAATTTTCAATGCATTTAGTACTCTGTATTATTTTCTTATAATAACACCCAATATTCTAAAATTAGTTTAGAACACCATGTGCTATTTAAAAAAATACTGTATGTCCAACTTGCAAGATATTGGGTGCTACTGTAACGATATTTTAAAGTGTTAAATGCACTAATAATTATTTTAGGTTTCAGAGTAATAGATATTGGTTTCCAAAAAAAAAAAAAAAAAGTGGTCAGCCTCCATTTTTAGGATACTGAGTGTTAATAGAAAAATAGTTTAGAGTACAGTTGGCTAAACACTGGCTACTACTAAAAAATATTTTTAAATATCGGGCGCACTAAAATTATTTTAAAATACTGGATTGATTTGGGGGGAAAAAAAAGGAGAGCCTTGAATTTTAACACCCAAAACGGTATAGTTTTGGGTAGAGGAGAAGAAATGGATGGCAAGGACAGAGGAGGAAAGCTGCTTCTAAGATATAAGCAAAATAAATTTCTAAATAAATGTTAATAAATAGTCCTATTTATAAACATTTTTATTTTATTCAGTATATTGGTTGTTTATTATTTTATGATGAATGCTTTTGTTAATCAAGTAAAAATAAAACAAATTAAAACTACATTCAGTGGAAGACATTACGAATTAATTTTCTATCCAACCAACAGACGAAAATAAATTTTAATCTTTCTATGTACAACAAAAAAGAATAATAAAACGATACAGATTATCCAACACTTGAAGTAAAGCGCACTGCAACTACTAATTTACTATGAGCATTGTACATATAATAATCGTTAGTATTAATGATGAATTATTTATTATATTTTATTTTGATTTGATTTTTTTTGAATTTTTTTAAAAAATGATTCAGAATAATCAGTGCAATTTTTTTGGTCAACACAAAGGAAATACCTCAATTAAGAGCATCAACCTTACTAGTTGGTCACATGCTCGCTAATTGCAAATTAAAGGGTTAATTTATAATATCAAACTTGGAATACTTGTACAGCGCGTATAATACTAAAATTAAAAGAGTCAAACAAATTTAACATCATGACCTAATCGAGACAACTATTATTATTTTATATTTAGTCAATTTTATTGACTCTGGGCCGGGGATGCAATTTTAGCTTGATTTCTCAATCAGGATATATCTTAAATATGACATATGCAAAATGTGAAATCATAACTATTGTTAAATTTGACATTTGTGTATCGCACAAAATTTTAAAAAATAAATTGTGTTATTTACCACTTTAAAAATCATGCAATTTGTTAAAATCTTTATATTATGTATACACTTAAGGGGTGTAACAAGAACAAAAATGTTTAGATTTTACGGGCCTGTTGTTTGAAGGAAGGGTAGGGGAGGAGGGAAGAGTGAGGAAGGTTTTAACCTTATCTTATTTGGTTTGATTAAAAAGAAAAAGAGGGAGGTATATTTAATCATCCTTTGTTTGGTTCAAGAGAAGGAGGAGAGTGATAGTAATAATCAATTTACTATTTTACCTTTATATATTAGTTATATTTTTATTTATATATTATATAAATTAATTTACATCTTATTTCAAGTTATATAATTCAATGAATAGTCAATCTTATCATATTAATATGTGTATTTAAAATTTATTACAGTAATTTTTTATTTTAATAAATATAATAGTATA